ACGGTTGTTTTCCAACTGCAAAAGTTGGTGGAGGGTCCATCATGCTGTGTGGATGTGTGGCAAGCACAGCTACTGCAACCTTGTTAAAGGTTGCAAGGATTCACCCAGTATCAGCAGATTTTGATGAACAATGATTAGGAATCAGTCAAGAGGCTTAAGTTAAGGCAAGAATGGATGTTACAGCAGGACAACGACCCAAAGCACAGTTGGAAGAAACACCAAGGGATTCATGCTCAGAATTCTAGAATGGCCATCCCAGTTTCCAGACATCATCAAAAATCTATGGATTGATTTGAAAAGATCCGTTCACACTCGGCACCCTTCAAACCTGACTGAACTGGGGAAATTGTGCAAGAAAAAATGGTCTGAAATTCCTTCAGCAAGAATTCAGGAACGTATCCTTGACTGTAAGGGTGCTTTCACACAAGCACTTTTGGTCCACACCCGGGTTTGTTGGACGTCAGAGTACGGTATGTTTAGCTATTGGGAGCGATGTCTTCTGAACTCCGATGCGCAGCCATGAAATGTACCTGAGTCCACCTGAAAGAGGGGGTCTGTGGTTGATTTGTGTGAACTCTGGTATGGTCCACTTCTGAGGGTGCTTTCACACTTGGTGACTGGATCATACCCAAGTTTGATTGCCCCCCACAACCCTTTCTGCTTTTACTGAATCATTTGGTTTCAGAAATACAGAAAGCGACTCGCATCCATCTGCTGCAAAGATATTATAAACTTTCAGAACATAACTCAATGTCTGCGGAAGCTGTTATTGGACGAGACAAGCAGACATCGTGTTTGCCCTGGCTTAGTCCTGCTTGTCACCATGTGCAAATACACACACATATATACACACACACACACACACAAACACACACACACACACAACAATGAAAATTCCTTAATCAAAGTAAAGTTAAAAGTAACAAGATAACAGGGACTAAAAATATAATCCCTGGTGCCCCACAATCTCTCTCCCCAAAATATTAACCAAAAAACAAACCACTGAGAATTAACAAGAAAATATGATTTACTGCAGAAAATAAGGAGCAAAATGAGCCAGATAAATGATAATAAACCAAACTAACTAAATTAGAGAAAACTTCCCAGGAACATAAGAAAATAAATACAGAAAACTTACCTCCCTACTAACAACACCGGAGAACACAAAAATAATAAACAGAAGGCACCAAACCTTCCTACCATGCTCCAAGCCAGACAGGGGGACAGAAAACCGTGTTTCTCTGGTTAGGATGTACAACTTCACATCAGCATCTCACAAAAAGCCATATAGGAGACATCAGCAACAAACTTGTTTTCATCACTCAAGCAATACCATCTCCACAGAGAATAACAAACAGGCAATCGAGAGAGAGCGGGGAGCTGAGCCAATCACGATCTGCCATAATCCGCTGTACCTGCGAATAACTCGGACAAGAGAGAGAAAAACCACACAAACACTACACTACACTACACTACAGTAACTACTCTTAACAGTTATAAAAAGTTTGTTGTACTGTCGGTGTTTCACTTCCGTTATTTTGTATGATTGCATTCATACCAGAAGTGAACCGAACCAGAGCTCGCATGTGTGAACGTGTCTTATGAACTCAGGTGCACACCCGTGAACCGTACTGTCCGCCTAAAAAAGGTGGTCTGGGGTACGGTTCACGGGTGTACACCTGAGTTTGTAAGACTCATTCACACTAGCTGTACGTTACATCAGTCAAACAAACCTAACTGCGGACCAAAAGTGCTTGTGTGAAAGCACCCTGGTATGAATGCAATCGTGCTAAATAACAGAAGTGTACCACCAACTGTGACAAACTTTTGTTTTCATAATGTTCATTCATGTGTGTGTGTGTCTTTGTACCACCTACCCCGCAACAAGCGGGACTGACCCACTGCAAACAGTGATAATGTCTGCTTGTCTCCACCAAAAACGAGTTCCGCAGACATTGCGTGATGTTCTGATAGTTTTTTGTTTTTTTTTTGTTTTTTTTGTTGTTGCGGCAAATAGACTCAAAAGGCTCTCTTGAGTTTTAGTTTTGGTAACCAAGCCAAAAGATTAAGTAAAAGCAGAATGACTGTGATGTGTTTGTCTCCATTTTGCCGATTTGCTTTCGTGGCCGTCACCTAACAACAGCCTTACACAAAACAGCAGGTCGATGATGCAAGTGAACCGGGGCTCAGAAGAAAAAAAGTCAATGTGAACTCAAACCAGCTGAGAAGGTGGAAAGGGGGGCTTTCAGACTTTGGTTCAGTCCAGGCAAGTATGAAAGCACCCTTATGCCGAGTTCAGACTGCATGGTTTTAACCCTAATTTTGACTCGCCGACAAGTTTTGAGGAATCGCCGCCAAATGCATGAAAATACGGGCAAATCGGTGCTCGTTCATGCAAGTAACAATCACAAACAGTGAAATATCAAAGACACAATCTTAGAGAATCGCCTATGAGTTGCCAACTCCTGTCAGATATTTGACATGCTAAATATTCACAATCATGATGTGTGAAATGTGTTCTGAGTGAAAATAACATCGGTGATCGCCTACAGCCAATAAGAGAGCAGCATCTAATAGTATGGGTACCTGCAGGCCAGCGGGAGGCTGGGAGAGAAGGTAAAAGCGCTACTTTCCAGTTTATTTGGTCACAAGAAATAGAGAAAAAACTTGTGGAAATTTGGCAGGAGCATGCGTGTCTGTTTGACGTGTCATCTGAGCAATACCACAACCAGGTCAAAGAAGAAAAAAAGTTGAGCAGAAATTGCTAACTCCCTTCAAAGGCCAGGTGAGCAAAATAAGTACATTTTCTACCCCACTAAACACGTCTTTCTCATGATTTAGTTAATAATTACAGATACACTACAAGACCTCATGTTGTTTCCATGTCAATTCTCCCATGTGTTTGATTGTGATAGACGTGGTTTGCAGACAGAGACAAAGTTGTCGGGGATTCTTCCTATATTAAAGTCATGCAGTGTGAACCCCCCTGACGCCGATCCACCCTGCAGAGTAAACAAAGCGGCAACGAAACGCTACCACAGAAAGTCATACCGTGTAAAAACATCAGTGACATAACTTCTTTGAAAATCCTGCAGTCTGAACATAAGAAGTGCCTTTATTAATCAGGGAATGAACCGCCAACTTATCCAGCATATGTTTTACACAGTAGATGCCCTTCCAGCTGATACTCATCAATGGGAAACATCCATACACACTCATTCACACACACACACACACATATAACACACACACACTACGGACAATTTTTTTAGCTTACCCAATTCCCCTGTACCCCATGTCTTTGGACTTTTGGGAGAAACCAGAGCACCCGGAGGAAACCCACGCAAACACAGGGTAAGACTTAAATGTCATTGTATATTTTAATCAAATAATCCTTATGTCACAACTGAAATGTTGCTTTTCCCTAGGGTATAAAATATATTCAAATGAATTTGATGATTTGAAAGGCCGGCAGGCTATGGCTTTTAATAATGAAAATTATCAGGGGTGCCCAAACTTTTGCGTAAAACTGTCGTTTTTATTGTATAACTTGTTGCTATAGTGTTTTCAAACTTTTATTTCATTTTTAAAACTTTTCATCTGATTTGTAAAATTTGTTTTGTTGTTGCAGTATTTTCTCTTTCTTTAAATGTTTTCAGGCTTACTTTTGAACTTCTAACAAACTCCAAACACTTTTGTTTCATTTAATAAACACTTATTTTTTTTACATTAAAGAACCCTAACCTAACTCTTACACTAAATAACCCTAAACCCTTAGACTAAATAACCCTAAACCCTTACACTAAATAACCCTACACTAAACCCTAAACCTTTAACCTTAACAATAAATAAAACTAAACCCAAAACCCTACATCATCCTCATATGCGCCCCCTGTAGGGTGAATTTCTGCTAAGACTTAAAACTTTTTAGCTAGATAGATAGATAGATAGATAGATAGATAGATAGATAGATAGATAGATAGTCAGTCAGTCAAATGACACCTCATACATGCAGATCAGACCTATGCTTCAAGACATACAGCCATGTAAATCTAGACCAATCTGATCGAATATTCTAATGAGGGTGAAACTCTCTTTTACCCCCTTACCTATAACTTAACCCTGAACCTTTAACTCTAATCTCTAAAAACTAAACCTTAACACTATATAAACCTTAACCCTAACACTAAATAACTTTAAACCCTTAACCCTAATCCAGGGGTGCCCAAACTCGGTTCCGGAGGGCCGGTGTCCTGCATAGTTTAGCTCCAACTTCCTTTAACACACCTGCCTGGAAGTTTCTAGTACACCTAGAAAGAGCTTGATTAGCTGCTTCAGGTGTGTTTAATTGGGGTTGGAACTAAAATCTGCAGGACACCAGTCCTCCCGGACCGAGTTTGGGCACCCCTGCTCTTAAACCCTAACACTAAATAATCCTAAACCCTAAACATTAACACTAAATAATACTAAACTCTTAACCCAAAACTCTGTATAATCCTCAGGTGCCCACTGTAGGGTGAATTTCTTTTATCTTTTGATCTTTAATTTTTTTATTTAGCAAAGTTTTGTTGCATTACTTTCTCGTTCTTTAAATGTTTTCAGGCTTTCTTTTGAACAAACTCCTTCAAACTCTTGGAAGCTCTGTTACACGTCTCCAATGTTCTCACAAGCGTTTTTAAACTAGACTCTTTCATTCGCTTTCAAACCTCTTTTCTTTACACCTCTTTCTCCTTGGCTTTCCTCTGACCCATTGCACTTCCCTTCTCACATGGAAAAAAAAAGTACTTGTGCTGTTTCATAATGCTCTTGGCAAGCTGTGGATTTCCCTGAAGTGAACTACAACATGCACGTAATCTGTTAATGAATAAAACAATTCCAGAAATATCACAGTATTGTCATTTGATTGCTTGCATTATAACTAATTCTTTCTTTTCTTTCACAGATGTAACCGGTGTTCGCACTCTCTGCGTTGTGTACAATAATGAGACAGGCCACTGGTACTGCTGATGGTGGGTTTATTGTCACTCAAGCGTCAGCTCAGAGCAAACTGGATGAATCAGAAAACAGCACAGTAAGTTGATATGATTTCGTTTGTAAATTTCCCCACCTCTCCTCAGCGCGCTCAATGCGGTCTGAGCAAACATAACAATAACATCATACCCAATTAAAACTGGGTAAACAGATCACAAAAGTGTACAAAAAGTAAATAAATAAAAATAACAAATGATTACAGTTCCATACATTGTGATATTAATTAATCTTCCCCTATCTAACTTTATATTAGAAATTAATGTAATTGCGAAACAAATGTAAACACAAAGAAGCATAAATGTACATAAAACAATACCTGGATGAATCAGAAAACAGCACAGTAAGTTGATATGATTTCGTTTGTAAATTTCCCCACCTAACAAATAAATAGCAGTTACAAAGTGTTAGAAGGTTCAGATGCCACGACTGGGGAGCCACTAGCCATCATCTCATTCTCCACGAGTGACTGTCGGTGAACTGCAACATTCCTCATTGTAACATTGCGCTTAGATTTAATTGCCAACTGTTCTTTTTGCTCAACCTGATATCTGTCTAGATGCTCTTGTACCTCACTCGCTGTCCACTTGTCTGCTGCTTTCAAACGGAAAACGGCTGACAAGCTGGGGTCCGGACAGTATTTGACAAACATCATGGCTGCCTCCTGACAAGGATTATCCATCTGTCGCCCAAGTCTTTTTAAAGCCTCTTCAGCAGCATCCACAGCCTTATTCAACCGGACCCAATACTCAACTGGGTTCTCTCCAATAACGGAAACTGTGCTGTAGAAATCTGCTAAAGGCATAGAGGAGAATCTGACTTCACTGAAATGTTGCTTTAGGATATCGAATATCACTCTGGGGTTCTCAGAAGGTTTTAGAGATGTGTTGCTGCGTAGGGTTATTTTTACAATGTCTTTGGCCTTACCCAGCAGCCTGGAAAGGATTTCATGATAATGCTCGGAAGCTGGTATGCCTCTTTTACGAAGGTATGTGTCCAGTAAATCCTCCCACTCATGCACAGTGAACTTATCTGTTCCATCACCTCGGAACACAGGAGGCTCTCTTACTTCAGATTGCATGACTAATTTGACTCCTGTCAAATTAAGTGAGGGTGTTTCTGTGAATGACTGACCAGCAACTGGACTCTGTGTCTGTGCATTATTAGTTTCTCCTTCCCCATACCTTCCCCCACCTTGAACAGAAATCAAAGTCTGTCCTACTTCTTGAGCAATGTGTGTTATGAGATTTTGCCATGCAGTATCATTTAAATCTGGGCTAGCCAAAAATGGGTTACTCCTTAACTGACTAGGTGTTTGTTCAGTTACCCGGGTAGAACAAAATTCAGAAGTTCGTCCCACACTACCCCTCCCTGCAACAGGCGTAGATGAATTAGCAAAAAGTCTTCCCCTTCCGAAAGTTAAATCTGACATGTTCTCCTCACCCTTAAAACTGTCTGCTTTGAAACCATATGCCATTACTACTTATTGGCATGTAAATGATCAAACATTGAATAAAATTTTAGAATAGATAAACCAGCATCGGAGAACAACTACCAAAAAAATATATATGTTAAACAGGAAAACAGGTATTTTAAAATTAAATAGAAATAAAGAAAGGATATAGTGAAGTGTCCAGTTTGATGAAAGTGCAATGCTCTCTATCACAGTTCATCAAAACCTTGATTGAAGTGCAGCATCCACCGGCGACCAAACGACATTGATCTTTGGATGAAGATTCCAGAAGAGCTGATCTTCATCCGGGTCACGGCACCACTGTAACCGGTGTTCGCACTCTCTGCGTTGTGTACAATAATGAGACAGGCCACTGGTACTGCTGATGGTGGGTTTATTGTCACTCAAGCGTCAGCTCAGAGCAAACTGGATGAATCAGAAAACAGCACAGTAAGTTGATATGATTTCGTTTGTAAATTTCCCCACCTCTCCTCAGCGCGCTCAATGCGGTCTGAGCAAACATAACAATAACATCATACCCAATTAAAACTGGGTAAACAGATCACAAAAGTACAAAAAGTAAATAAATAAAAATAACAAATGATTACAGTTCCATACATTGTGATATTAATTAATCTTCCCCTATCTAACTTTATATTAGAAATTAATGTAATTGCGAAACAAATGTAAACACAAAGAAGCATAAATGTACATAAAACAATACCTGGATGAATCAGAAAACAGCACAGTAAGTTGATATGATTTCGTTTGTAAATTTCCCCACCTAACAAATAAATAGCAGTTACAAAGTGTTAGAAGGTCATTCGAAATCACTGTGTCCAGTATACATACTTATACACACATACTCAATCAACTGTGCTCAGTAAAGTGATTAATTTTATCCATCCACATGAAGAAAAGTACTTCCTAGTTAATATAGAACACTCTTACAAACAATACAATCGCATATTTAAAGCTTATTTAAAGTTCTGACAACTTTTAGAACGATTTTCCTTGGAGCACCATTAAAAGCTCACCTCTCCTCGGCGCGCTCAATGCGGTCTGAGAACCCAGCGCGGCAACCGGAAGTGACGTTGCGCGGCAACCGGAAGTGACGTAGCGCGGCAACCGGAAGTAACGTTGCGCGCAAAACAAATATAAAACTATTTTCATTAAACAACACAAATAGAGTAAAAACTAAATTCTAACATATGTCTAAACAAATTGATGCAAAACAAATGCACGAAAATTAAAAGGAGGGACTATTAGTGAAATGCATTAAATTAATACTCTTATTAACACCCGTCACACAGACATCATCCTTTCTTCCTGTTTTCAGTACGTCAAAACTTTTTGTAAGTACTTTTAGACACAAGTTACCTTTCACCCAAACTTTCCTCTAAATGTCAGCAGCAGATATGCGGCTCCCTGTTGGGTTAATAAATGCTCTCACCATCAAACGTCACTCACTCTCTCTCTCTCCCTTTCTCACTCACTCACACACACTCACATAAACACACACGCTCGCATTCACTCTCTACTTCAGTCTCTCTCCTCCCTTACAGACACCACTGAGTTCCCACTGAACTCTTTGCACAAAACTACCTAGTTTTCCCAAAGTCCAGTCAGCAAAGGATGGAGGTCAGCGAATTCAATCTGCTCTACAAGGGTTTCCTGCTCCCTAAGCTCGCACACACAGAGGAAAGTCTGCAATATCTCGAGAATTTCAAAGTCAAAGATGATGATGTCTTTGCTGTTACCTATCCAAAATCTGGTAAGATCTCTTGTTGTCTTCAATGTTTACTTCTTTGTGAAAGCTTTTTCATTGCAGTGCAAGTGCACATGTTTCTGTTTTGATACATATTCTGGATGTTCACTCTCAGAAATAAAGGTACACAAGCTGTCACTGGGGTGGTACCTTTTAAAAAGGTACAAGTTTGTACCTAAAAGGTCCTTGTTAATACCTCACGGGTACATTTTAGTATCTAAAAAGTACCAAAGTGTTCCACTTAAAATGTTTAGGTACTAATATGTACCCCTGAGGTACCAATATGGACCCTTTAAGTACAAATGTGTACCCTTTGAAAAGGTCTCACTCCAAAGACAGCTTCATACCTTTATTTCTAAGAGTGTGCAAAGGACTGTGACATTTTTAAATTGTGCACTAATTAAACAAACCAGCTTTGCCTGTTTTTTTAACATACACCCAATGATTAAATACTGTCACTTTGCATTAAAATGTGCACCTCAGATACTAGTCTCTGCATTCTGTCTTAATGTCTTGTTTGAAACTATCAATTCATTCTACAATAGCCTAGTTCTTTGATCATGGTGTCTGCTGGGTCTTTGAAAGTCTTAAAATGTCTTAAATTTCAAAAACCTTAACCTTTAAAGGTCTTAAATTCACTGAAATATTGTGTTGTTGGTCTTAGATGGTTATAAATAGCTCTAAATTGTCCTCTATCCGAGTAACGCTGTTTATCCAGTCACCATCAATCCATCTCAATAAAATCAGGGAAAGAAAACTAAAAACAATTACACAGTAATTACACATGATAATAACAGAGCAATAGTTCCCTTTATGTTGTCTTCCATTCATACAAAAACCTCTTTACAGAAGTCAGGGGAAGTAGACATAATGCTTATGAGTAGGCATGAAACTTAAGGTTTTATAACAGAAACACATTAGGTTGAATAGAAGTTATACTCAATCAATTTGGACCAAAAGCCAACAAATAAATATCTTTGATTATTTGTGTAGCTGCCTTCACAATAAACATACTTTTAACAATGTTAAACTTGCCATTTAAACAAAAAAATATATATATTATGTTAAAAGATTGTGTATACGACTAGAGTTTTCTTGTTTTAGACACAATCATTTTTATTTTATTTTTTATTTTTTTTGCAAGCAAAAGCCCGATCAGGCCATTATAAATAATCAGTAGTGTTTAGCCTTGTATAAATCTAAAATTTCATTCATAATGGTCTTAAAAGAGTCTTAAAAAGTCTAAAATTTGACTTTATGAAACCTCTAGAAACCCTGTTTGTAATATCAGCATTGTTATTATTATATACAGGAGCATGTCAATGTAGCATGGCACTAGCAATATAAGAAAATGCCCAGCAAACAATTTTGTTTTAATAGACGTCTAAGTGAAGTTTATTTATAAACTGATTTCGAGAGGATCACATGCTCATGATTGCTTGCAGCTGGTCCTGCATTATTCAATTTATGATTCACCAATCAGACGATTCCTAAACCACTATAAATACACTGAAAAAAATATTTTTTTTTTACGTTAGGTGGTTGTAAACAATTTATTTATGTTGAATTTAAACTAACAAATTAAGTTGAACATTATTACATTTTATTTGTTTGTTTAAATTCAACACACAAAAATTGTTTGCAACAGTTCTGCATGCAACACTTTTTTCAGTGTACCCTAAGTTCATATGACATGCACCTAGTAAGTTATCTCTTAACAGCGATCTCTATCTGTTCATTAGCTACTACATCAGGGGAGTTCTCGAGATCTACCTGAGCTTACACTCTCCTCTCACCTGGCAAACGGGAGGGAGCCCCGGGCTTGAGGATCTTATGAGCTCAGGGCTCTCTCCCGGCACAGCATGCCAAACAAGCTTTATAATCAATCAACAGCTAAGTGTGAACTCTTGAATAGACATCTAAACATAGACAGTTTGAATAAATCAAGGCTAAACTTGGGCTGTCAGTGAAAATCTAATAGACATCTAAGAATAGCCCAAAACTACAATAGTTGTATAATAGATTAGACAGACTTTTTCTTAATTTCTGTTTATTTGATGACTAGTCTAGTGTTGACCTATTCTTAGACGTCTATTAGATTTTCACTGACAGTCCAAATTTAGCCTTGTTTTAGCCAAGACGACCATGTTTAGATTTTCCAGCAGTGGAAAAACTCAAATTACGCTCATGTAGAAGTTTATTCATTCATTCATTTTCTTTGCAGCTTAGTCACTTTATTAATCCGGGGTCGCCACAGCGGAATGAACCGCCAACTTACTCTATGAAATATATTTGACACTTTAGACTATGTAGATCTGGCTGTGTGAGACTGTAGATGAATTAATTAATTAAACTTTTTTTCACGATTCTTATCTTTTCAACTATTAGCTTTGTGCATCAGGGAACAGGAATTACGTCATCTTTTTGGTTTTCTTGTCAAAAACGTTCATTCATTTTTCTTCAGCTTAGTTAATTTATTCATCAGGGGTCACCACAGCGAAATGAACCGCCAACTTATCCATTATACAGTATGTTTTACACAGTGTATGCCCTTCAATCTGCAGCCCTGAACCAAGAAACATCCATACACACTCATTCACACACACAGAGCATCCTGAAAGTCTTCATAGCGCTTCACTTTTTCCACATTTTTATGTTAGACCCATATTTTAAAATGGATTCAATTAATTTATTTCCTCAAAATTCTACACACAATAGCCCATAATGACAATGTGAAAAAAATAGTTTTTGAAATTGTTGTAAATTTATTAAGAAATAAAAAAGCTGAAAAATCACATGTACATCAGTATTTAAAGCCTTTGCCGTGAAGCTCTAAACTGAGCTCATACATTCTGTTTCCACTGATCATTCTTGAGATGTTTCAGCAGCTTAATAGGAGTTCACCTGTGGTAAATTCAGTTGATTGGGCATGATTTGAAAAGGCATACACCTGTCTATTTAAGGCCCCAGGGCATGTCAAAGCACAAACCACGCATGAGGACAAAGGAATTGTCTGTAGACCTCTGAGACAGGATTGTCTCGAGGCACAAGGCTGGGGAAGGTTACAGAAAAATTGAACTCTGAAAGTTCCAGTGAGCACAGTGGCCTCCATCATCCATAAACGGAAGATGTTTGGAAAAACCAGGACTCTTCCTAGAGCTGGCCGGCCATCTAAGCTGAGTGATCGGGGAGAAGGGCCTTAGTCAGAGAGATGATTTATAACCTGATGGTCACTCAGTCTGAGCTCCAGAGTTCTTCTGTGGAGGGAGGAGAACCTTACAGAAGGACAACCATCTGTGCAGCAATCCACCAATCAGGCCTGTATGGTAGAATGGCCAGACAGAAGCCACTCCCCACCTGGAATTTGCCAAAAGGCATCTGAAGGACTCTCAGACCATAAGAACCTAAATTCTCTGGTGTGATGAGACTAAAATTAAACTCTTTGGAGTGAATGTCAGGTGTTACATTTGGAGAAAACCAGGCACCGCTCCTAACCAGGCTAATAGCATCCCTACAGTAAAGCATGGTGGTGGCAGCATCATGCTGTGGGGATGTTTTTCAGCAGCAGGAACTGGAAGACCAGTCAGGATAGAGGGAAAGATAATGCAGCAATGTACAGAGACATCCTGAATGAAAACCTGGGTCAGAGTGCTCTTGACCTCAGACTGGGGTGACCGTTCATCTTCCAGCAGTACAATGACCTAAAGCATATCACCAAAATATCAATGCAGTGGCTTCACAACACCTCAGTGAATGTCCTTGAGTAGCCCAGCCAGAGCCAAAAAATCGTTTTTCACATTGTCATTATGGGGGATTGTGTGTAGAATTTTAAGCAAATAAATGAATTTTATCCATTTTGAATAAGACTCTAACATAAAAAATGTGGTAAAAGTGAAGCGCTATCAATACTTTCCGGATGCACTATAGTTTATTCAGTTCACCTATACCACATGTCTTTGCACTGTGGGGGAAACCAGAACACCTGGAGGAAACCCACTCCAACACGGGGAGAACATGCAAACTCCACACAGAAATGCCAACTGGCCCAGCCAGTACTCAAACCAGAGAACTTCTCTTGTGCAGTTTTTACTGTTCATATTATAAACTTAAAGGAACAGTTCACCCAAACATAAGAATTATCACATCTTTTACTCTCCCTTCTGTGGTTTTTAACTTTCATGAGTTTCTTCTGTTGAACACAATGACTGTAAAAAATATGGACGACGCGACAGCCCCTTTTCCCATTGAACGCATTGAGGGCAAAACGACTGCTTGACGGGCACAAACTGTCGCAAAAGACTGCTGAAATTTGAGCCTTGACATGCGCAGAAGGACTGTCTGATGGAGCCAAAGGAGGAGCCGCGAAAATGAGCGGAGTTGAGCTTCCAACCAAAAGCTTTATGTAAAATCAACCACGCCCCCCGAACTTCTCAGCATGCGTTTGCTGTAGCCCGTCATATCAACACAAATGGATGTAATAACGTTAACAAATATGAGGGTTTTATATATTAAATCGCGCCAGCTCCGGACCAGAGCGCATAACCTACTCGCGGCGTCACGGGCTGATTCCGGCTCGCATGCGGCAGCGCCGGCTCGCTCGGCCGCCGCATCTGGCTCGATTGACTCGGGCTGGAATCGGGCAGTGAGTCCAGGCATCCGGAGTAGGTCCAGCAGAGGTAGTCAGTCTGAGCTCTGAGGGGTAAGTCTCCGGCAGGCGAGAATCTAGCCGGAACTGGCCCGAGTGTGTTTTGCTATCTGGGTGGTTAGGCGTGTATCAGCAAACTAATAAAGCCCAAAAAAAGCCCTGACCTTAGCGAATAAACAGTGTTCCACCAAATCATGTATGTCAGAAACTGTAGTTTACTGCTGAACTCATTTTGTCATGGTAAAATATCACAGAAATCGAGTAATAACACTTCAGTCTTCTGCCGAAGCTCAGATGCGCTGCTTTGAGAAACTGTCAATCACAGCTGTCAATCACGATGACACGCCCAGCATTAAATTACTGCTAAAAACAAACTTTTTACAAAAATGAAGATCTGCACCTATTTCAGCACAATAACCAGTGCCTTAATCGACCTGAACCATCTTTCGGGACGTTTTATTGCAAGTGTAATATTTTTTTTTATTTGGGCTCAAGTCTCCTTCATTAACACGGAGGAGGCGGGCTTTATGACTTGTACTGCAGCCAGCCCCCAGGGGGCGATCTAACGGCCGAGACCTTCACTCAAACGCAGGCTTGCGGCACACTTGGTTGAACATAAAAAAGAAGATACTTTGAACAATGCTGGCCGAATGGATCCAGTAGTACATCCATAGTAGGAAAACAATTACTGTGGAAGTTAATGGAAATCACCAACCAGCTTTCTTCAAAGTAGCTTTTGAGTTCAACAGTGGTACGTGTAACAAGTGAAGGATGATCAAAAGATGACAGAATTTTTATTTTTGGGTCAACTATCTCTTTAAGTGTCCTGAATTAAATGCCAATGTACAGTTAAAGTCAGAATTATTAGCCTCCTGTTTATTTTTCCCCCCAATTTCTGTTTTACGGAGAGAATATATTTTCAACACATTTCTAAACATAATAGTTTTAGTAACTCATTTCTAATAACTGATTTATTTTATCTTTGCCATGATGACAGTAAATAATATTTGACTAGATATTCTTCAAGACACGTTTATACAGCTTTAAGTGACATTTAAAGGCTTAACTAGGTTAACTAGGCAGGTTAGGGTAATTAGGCAAGTTATTGTATAATGATGGTTTGTTCTGTAGACAATCAAAACAAATAGCTTAAAAGGGCTGATAATATTGACCTTAAAATGGCTGTCAAAAAATAAAAACTGCTTTTGTTCTAGCTGAAATAAAACAAATAAGACTTTCTCCAAAAGAAAAAATATTAACAGACATACTGTGAAAATGTCCTTGCCTTGTTAAACATCATTTAGGAAATATAAAAAAAAAAAATGAAAATTCAAAGAGGGGCTAATAATTCTGACTTCAACTGTACATCTTGTATTATTGTGCATGAGTGCATCATCACTGGTCTCTGTTTGTGTTTTTTCAGGTACCACATGGATGCAAAATATTCTCCCTCCGCTTCTGAATGGAGGAGACCTGACACCTGTGCAGACTGTCCCAAACTGGGATAGGGCCCCATGGCTGGAGGAGATACGAGCTGCGGTGGTGCTCGAAGAACGCCCTTCACCGCGAGCCATAGTCTCTCACATGCCTTACCGCTTGATGCCTTCCTCTTTCTACAAATCCAAGGCCAAGGTACAGTGTGGCAGTCTATTGACGTGACATTATTGCATGTGTAAGGTTTTACTGCCTTGTGATAAAAGTGGTTTCCATGTATAGTCTGCATTGGCTAATTTATATGCCTCACATTATGTCATTGGTTCATATAGAAAAGGGGGCACTTGTGTTTTTCCTGGGACTTCAACAGAGTGTAAAAATCTTGATGATTCTGTCTCGTCTATCAAATTCTATTTTATATTGGATTCAAGTCAGGGGATTGTTTGGGCCATTCCTTGATTTTCTTTCTCTGAAAGCCTCTGAGAGTTTCCTTGGCTGTGTTTTGGATCATTGTCTTGCTGAAGTGTCCACTCTGGTTTCATCTTCATCCTCCTGCTAATGTGAATGTTGGACTAAAGCAGCTATTTATTTACACCGAGGAAGGGCAGAGGGTTGCTGAAGAACTACTGAGAGATTTCAGCTGCTGTCTGGGCTTTCACTGCCTTCCTACACCTCCCTTCATTCATGTGTTCAATACTTTTTCCCTTCATCATTTCATTTTATTAAACATAACTTCATTTGTAAACCAATTCGTTTGGTTTTCCTTTTTTATATGTATTTCTTTGGTTGTTACCAACATACGGTGAAAATTTCAAGTCAACAACACCTTTAGAGATAGGTTTTCTGAGAAAGATGATGACGTATTCAATACTTATTTCCCCCGCTGTAACCTGAACCTTGAATATAGTGAGATGAAATCTTAGCCTTACCTAACCTTTGGCTTGCTTGCTTGGTTGGTGTTACTATTTACTTTCTTGTGTTACTATTTTTCAGTAACTAGCACAACACTGAATAAATATTTTTTAAAGCCTACAGCTGACAATGTTCCCCGCAGCTGACAATGCAATATTTTTTCTGTATATTGTGACGTGAATACAATTTCGACTTTAATAGCTTTATTTGGGAAGAAGTCTACATTTTAGATTGATGTGGGTCATTTTGTAGAGAAGAGTGTGTCAAATAATATACAATAAATAAGTTACAAGGATAGATACAGTTGAAGTCTGAATTATTAGCCCCCCTGAATTATTAGCCCACCTGTTTTTTGTTTTTTCCCCCAATTTCTGTTTACCGGAGAGAAGATTTATTCAACACATTTATAAACAGAATAGCTTTAATAACTCATTTCTAATATCTGATTTATTTTATCTTTGCCATGATGACAGTAAATAATATTTTATTAGATATTTTTTCAAGACACTTTTATACAGCTTAAAGTGACATTTAAAGGCTTAACTAGGTTAATTAGGTAAACTAGGCAGGTTATGGGTAATTAGGCGAGTTGTTATAGCTTAAAGGGGCTAATAATTTGATCCTAAAATGTTTTTTAAAAAATTAATAACTGATTTTATTCTAGCCGAAATAAAACAAATACAACTTTCTGCGGAAGGAAAAATATTATCAGACATATTGTGAAAATTTCCTTGCTCTGGTAAACATCATTTGAGAAATATTTAAAATAGAAAAAAAAATAAAAAATCAAACACCCCCTAATAATTCTGACTTTACCTGTATATACAATATAGCAAAAACACACATTTTATTTATTGTTTCTAGTCAGTTTTATTGGAGAATCGAACTATATTCAGGTACAGATATTAATTAATTAATGAAACATAGTCTTTATTTTAAATAATCTGATCTTTATTTGCGTGACAATCATAATTTTTTGGCCTGATGTTTTAACTCTAATGTCGAAATATTAACAGAGTAACATGCTTTAAGGGGATAGTTCACCCAAAAAGGAAAATGTACTCACTATTTACTCACCCTTCAGTCATTTTTAAAGGTTTAAGTTATAACAAAAATATCAAAATGAAACAAGTGAAGGTTGCAATGAAAATAGGGAGTACAGTTTAAATTTTGGGTGAACTATCACTTTAAAAACACATGTCATAAATGTTTACTCCTACATAAATACGGTATATTATCAACTATAATCCCATATCACATATTCAGTGATGTGACTATTGCGTATGCTTACACTGCGATATCGATGCTGAAATAATATATTGTGCAGCCCTAGTTGATGGCCGTTCTGCTAACCACAATAGTGTTGCCGATTGGATTATGACAGATTAAGTTTATGGTGAAGGGTTGCTGCATATAGTGTAAAAATGTCAACAAAATCTCACGGCAATTTGTAGCTTTTTCATTTAGTGGCTAACTCATATGAATTCATACGATTTAATTTGTACAATTTAGTAGGATTTGCTCATCCCCCAATGACGGTAAAAATATAAAAATAAAAAATTTATAAAATCGTACAATTTCATGTGACTGAACTCATACGAATTTGTACGAATTAGCCACTAAACTGGCAAAACGTAAAACACTTACGTTTTCTCGTGAGATCAGGCTGAAAAATGTATAATAATACAAAACTTTCTATTCAGGGACCATAGAAGGCGTATTGACTCAATGTATCTCAGTGTGGTATGGAAACAGCTCAAACCAGGACCGCAAAGCACTTTAAAGAGTTGTGCGTTTAGCTGAGCGCATCTCAGGGTCTGCTCTTCCCTCCTTGCAGGACATCTATATTAAACGCTGTAAAAATAGAGCTGTTAAAATCTGTAAGGACTTAAACCATCCTGACAATTACCTATTCACTTTGCTTCCATCTGGTAAACGTTTCCGTAGCTTGATGGCAAAAACTGAGAGACTTAGGAGGAGCTTCTTTCCCCAGGCCATCAGGCTGCTGTAGAGATAGTTTACAGTTTGACCCAAAGAATGACCAGTCTGGTAGATGAAGAAGTCAGAGATTTAAATAAATAAATCAAGTTTACTGAAGATAGTTTGCAGTTTCATTCCGCAGAAGCCAGCTTCAACACTCGCAATGAGTTCCTAGGCCGCTCTGCTTACAATCACCAATCAATAACAATTATACTCTCACATAACGTCATTAACTGATTGGTTAAAACACAGATAAACTAGGAAAATTTCCATGTGGGGTTTGTGCGTTCAATTCTGAACAATATCTAAACATAAACGTCAGACATCCTTTAGACTGATTAGAGCTGACTCCAGACCTGTGAAATGGATCAACAATCAAATAGAACACACACACACACACACACAAAGTATAATCTGTTTCTTATCCAAGGCTGAGTGTACTCTCAGCCGTCTTTATCAAAACTGGTTTAAAACTGGTATATTCTACATTCAGGCAGTTATAATTCCTTACTACACAACGTCTATCTTGAATAAAATGTAGAATAACTTTAAAAGAATTCACCGTAAAAATAGCAAAATCACTTTAGACATTTTAGACAATATTAACTCGTAGAAATAACAAATAGAAACAGTTGCTTCCAGTCCTCAGCCCTCAGTTCCACTCAAGGTCTCCGTGACCTCTGACCTAGATTGGTGGCTTCTGAACATAGTTATAAAGAGACAGGCAAATGCACTGAACATTCTTATATTAAGCAATGTGTTAACTTATTCATTAATTAAAATCAATTCACAGTTAAATACTGAGAAACAGGATGATGAAAAGGATAAACGTTGGTCCATGATGAGACGGATTGGAAAGCAGAAATCAGAATCCTTCACTGCTAAATTCTAACCCGGTGTTATACATCACTTGATGTTATGTATTTATCACTGTAGTAGTCATATCTATAAGCTACCTCATATTGCTGCTATTCTTATTACTTTGTATAATTTTTTGCACATATTTTTTTTCCTTATTATTTAATTTTTGTTTATCTATACTTGCACTGTCTCTGGAGCGGACCTGACCTACATTTCACTGCTGGTCATACTTTGCAACACTATGTATGTGACAAATAAAACTCTTGACTTGACTTGACTCAACTAGTTTGTTTTTTCAAAGCAGTTGATGAATGTGTCTAATGGAAATCTCTTGTTTTTCATCTTCAGGTCATCTATGTTGCACGGAATCCTAAAGATGTTATAGTCTCTTCTTACCACTTTCACAAAATGGCCAGTTTCCTTGAAGACCCCGGAACATTTGATGACTTCGTTAACAAATTCCTGTCAGGAGAAAGTGAGGCATTCTAATGCAGTTTATGAAATGAATGGTTGATGTGTTCAATGTGAGGGCATATCATTACTAAATTATACTTATTGAACATGTTTTATTGATTTTAGTGTTGTAGGAAAGTGATAGTTCATCTAAAAAATGATTATTTACTGTTAATTTAGGAATCATGAGATCATATAACATGTAGGGGATTTTTCTGTATCTGTAGAACATTAAAGAAGATTAAATAATGGTTTTAGGTGATATAGGTGATAGATTAGGTGATTATAAATATAAACGCATAAGTCAATGGCTACATTGTACAATAAATTAGTTTACTTTACTTTACTTTAAAAAGTGAGTAAACCTGTTCTTTTAAATTGATTATAGATGGCTTTACTTAAGAAATAAAGTAAACCTGTTCTTTTAAAGCGATTGTAGTTGACTTTACTTAAGAAATAGAGTAAAATGTTCTCTTAAAGCGATTATAATTGACTTTACTTTAAAAAAAGTGAGTAAATGTGTTGCTTTTAAGCAGTTATAGTTGACTTAATAAAGTGAGTAAATCTGTTGATTGACTTTACTTAAAAGGTGAGTAAACCTGCACTGAAAACCCTAATAAGTTGACTGAACTAAATTAATTGAGTAAACTCGTTGCCTCAATTTAATTGAGTAATGGAATCTCCCAAAACTTGCATAGTTAAGTTTATTTAACTTGCCGGTATTCTAGACTATACTTAAATTGTTCAGCTCACCAAACTTAGTACTAAGCTTGGTGAACTAAACAATTTAAGTATAGTCTACTTAAGATCTACTTTTAATGAACTGAACAATTTAAGTATAGTCTACAAAACCGGCTTGTTAAATAAACTAAAATAATTAAGTTTATATTATAGTTGACTTTACTTAATAAAGTGAGTAAATCTGTTGCTTTTAAAGCAATTATAGTTAACTTTACTTTAAAAAATGAGAGCAAACCCGTTGCTTTTAAATTAGTTAACTTTAATTAATAAAGTGAGTAAACCCGTTCTTTTTAAAGCGATTAGTTGACTTTAATTAATAAAGTGAGTAAACCCATTGCTTTAAAACGTAGTAAATAAAGGATAAGCTAATGTAACTCATGGCTTTTACAGAGTACCACCCCTTTGAGGTATGCGTTATATATGAAAAACGAAAATAATATGTGCGTCTCTTGATAATACACTTCTAAAGTATTATGAAGCAAAACAACCAAATGCACATTTCAGAGGCTGTATATTAAAGGTAAAATATTGAAATGATGATTTTCTTGCAGAGATTTTTTGTAATGATTGTAAAGACCTCAAGGAATTATTAGGAGCCATGAATATTAGTTGTGTTTTCCCTACATGTCTATTTTTGACTCCCAAAGTGCTGGTATCTTCTGATTTTCTGAACCACCAACGGCCACTGTCTGTCATTTTCAGCAGAAATCTTCTTCAATGTTTAGTTGAAGCAAAATGTCACCAGTTCCACAGAAACAGTAAGAATAGGTTGTGAATCAGAACTTTTAAACTGATCAGTTTGCACTTGCTTTCACAGTTGTTTTTGGTAAATGGTCTGACCACATCAAAAGCTGGCGAAACCCAGAGCTCAAAGACAGAATTCTGTACGTCACCTATGAAGAAATGCTTCAGGTAAAGTGAAATTGTGCCACTCACTCAGAGATCAGACGAATCATTTTTGGTTATTTACATCAAACAAAAAATATCATATCTAATGTTTTTAATGTAAATGTTTTAATTTTATTGATTTATTTTTTGGGGTGTCATATTTGTTGAATTATGAAGTTATAACTTATATGCTGTTAGTGTCACACTTTACAATAAGGTTTTATTAGTTAATGCATTTACTAACGTGAACCAATTATGAACCACACTTGTTCAGTGTTTATTAGTTCACCATTTAGTAACGCTTATAAACATCCAAATTCATGATTCACAGTATTGTTCATTGTTTGTTCATGTTATGCATTAACTAACATGTTAAGTTAACCTTATTGTAAAGTGTTACCATTTTATCTATATTAAACTTGCTGTGAAATAGCCATAAGTTGCTCGTGAGGAAATAAACAAACAAGCAAAGATCAAAGATTATTAGTAACAAGTCCAGTGTTGTTGTTATTGTAGGACCTTCGTGGAGTCTTGTGCCGGATGTTAAAATTTCTGGGCCGGGAGCTCAGCACAGAAGCTTTGGATCGTGTCGTCAGTAACAGCACTTTTAAAAACATGAAGACGAACAAAATGTCTAACTACACTATGGTGCCACAAGAAATTATGGACAACAACAAGTCAGCCTTCCTGAGGAAAGGTAACCAGGCTTAAAAAAAATTCAATCTTCAACATTAAAGAAGACCAAATCATGCTTTTTGGTGATTATAGATATAAAAAATATAAGTCATTGGCTACATTATACAAGAAGTTATTTGACTTAAAAAAGAGAGTAAATCGGTTGCTTTTAAAGCGATTATAGTTGACTTTACTTAATAAAGTGAGTAAATCGGTTGCTTCTAAAGCGATTATAGTTGACTTTACTTAATAAAGTGAGTAAATCGGTTACTTTTAAAGCGATTATAGCTGACTTTACTTAATAAAGTGAGTAAATCGGTTGCTTCTAAAGCGATTATAGTTGACTTTACTTAATAAAGTGAGTAAATCGGTTACTTTTAAAACGATTATTGCTTACTTTACTTAATAAAGTGAGTAAATCGGTTGCTTCTAAAGAGATTATAGTTGACTTTACTTAATAAAGTGAGCAAATCGGTTGCTTTTAAAGCGATTATAGTTGACTTTACTTAATAAAGTGAGTAAATCGGTTACTTTTAAAGCGATTATAGCTGACTTTACTTAATAAAGTGAGTAAATCGGTTGCTTCTAAAGCGATTATAGTTGACTTTACTTAATAAAGTGAGTAAATCGGTTACTTTTAAAGCGATTATAGCTGACTTTACTTAATAAAGTGAGTAAATCGGTTGCTTCTAAAGCGATTATAGTTGACTTTACTTAATAAAGTGAGTAAATCGGTTACTTTTAAAACGATTATTGCTTACTTTACTTAATAAAGTGAGTAAATCGGTTGCTTCTAAAGAGATTATAGTTGACTTTACTTAATAAAGTGAGCAAATCGGTTGCTTTTAAAGCGATTATAGTTGACTTTACTTAATAAAGTGAGTAAATTGGTTGCTTTTAAAGCGATTATAGTTGACTTTACTTAATAAAGTGAGTAAATCGGTTGCTTTTAAAGTGATTTTAGTTGACTTTACTTAATAAAGTGAGTAAATCGGTTGCTTTTAAAGCGATTATAGTTGACTTTACTTAATAAAGTGAGTAGATCTGCTGCTTTTAAAGCGATTATAGTTGACTTTACTTAATAAAGTGAGTAAATTGGTTGCTTTTAAAGCGATTATAGTTGACTTTACTTAATAAAGAGAGTAAATCGGTTGCTTTTAAAGCGATTATAGTTGACTTTACTTAATAAAGCGAGTAAATCTGTTGCTATTAAAGAGATTATAGTGGACTTTACTTAATAAAGTGAGTAGATCTGTTGCTTTTAAAGCGATTATAGTTGACTTTACTTAATAAAGTGAGTAAATCTGTTGCTTTTAAAGCGATTATAGTTGACTTTACTTAATAAAGTGAGTAAATCTGTTGCTTTTAAAGCGATTATAGTTGCCTTAATAAAGTGAGTAAATCTGTTGCTTTTAAAGCGATTATAGTTGACTTTACTTAATAAAGTGAGTAAATCTGTTGCTTTTAAAGCGATTATAGTTGACTTTACTTAATAAAGTGAGTAAATCTGTTGCTTTTAAAGCGATTATAGTTGCCTTTACTTAAAAAACTGAGTAAATCTGTTGCTTTTAAAGCGATTATAGATGACTTTAAAAAGTGAGTAATCTGTTGTTTTTAAAGAAATTATAGTTGACTTTACTTTCAAAAGTGAGTAAACCTGTTGCTTTTTAAATGATTTGTTGACTTTACTTTAAAAAGTGATCAAATGTGTTGCTTTTAAAGCGATTAGTTAACTTTAAAAAGTGAGTAAACCTGTATTTCTATTGAAGTGATTAATTGAATTTACTGAGAGGGTAAACCAGTTTCCTTAAAATTAAGGAAATGAACTCTGTGCTTAATTATAAAAATTAAGTTACCGCTAACAGTTCAAAGTTACTTGCTTAACAGGTTTACTCAGTAAAGTAACTAATGACTTTTACAGAGTACCAACCTTGTGAGATATACAGTATACAAGCAAAACAAAAAATTATATTTGTGTCTCTTGATTATGCACTTTAAAAAAAAGAAACTTTGAAAATATTAAGTTATTATTTATCTATTTATTGAGTTCTTCTCTGCATGTTTAAAGGTGTTGCTGGAGACTGGAAGAATTTCTTCAGCCCGGAGCTTGATGCCAAGTTCACAGCTGTAATTCGGGAGGAAATGAAAGGAACTAACATCAAATTCCCCTGGGATGAGGAATAATAAGCGAGTCTCTTGCAGTGACATCAAAATAAACAGCGGTAGTTGAAATCATATGATCACTTACTTGGCTTATTTGTACTGATTGAAGTTTAAGATTTAATAAATCTGCATCAGGCAAGAGAAACTGCCGCGGCATTCAGTAGATCTGTTAGGGTTACTTAAGATATTAGGACGTTAAAGACAGTTAGACTAGTTTTACATTACCATGAGGATGCAATGTCCCCACATCTGCATGTTTTGGCAATGAGAGAATCTGCAAGATGACCAACTTACTGTTTTTTAACAACCAAATATTGAGGTTGAAAATGAGAAAGCTGTATAGACATTTTACTGAGTGTGCAAATTACAGAGCGATTCGGGGAAGTCTGACCCCCCTAATTGATGCTTGATCTCCCCTGAAAGATATCAAAAGGTGTATGGGGGTCTGACTTAATAGTTAAGAAATAGTTTGCTCTGATCAGTATCTTAAATAATATTACTAACTAAAATAATAGATAACGAAAATATACATTTGACCACCCCTATAATGGTTCATACCATTGTGAATGCATGTTGCAACATCCCTAATGCGAATCATTTCACCACATCCCAAAGGGACTCTATTGGATTTAGCTCTGGTGACTGTGGAGAGTTTGAAATGAGACAGTTTGAGATGATTTGCGCTTTATGACATGACAATTATCCTGCTGGATGTAGCCATCTTCTGTGGCTGTGCCATTGACACAATGCTCAATAGATAACAATAGTCCCAAGGTGTGCCAAGAAAATATCCCCCACACCATTACACCACCACCAACCTGATTCGTTGATACAAGGCAGGATGGATCCATGCTTTCATGTTGTTGACTAAATGCATTGGGTTGCTGCCATGTGATTACCGAGCAGTTGTAAAGGTGTACCTAATAAAGTGGCCGTTTATTTAATATCACAAATGTCATTGAGAACCACTCAGTATCCCTCAAAATACTGAAATATAACAAGAAGTTTGATTAATAAGTTAAATGCAGTTGAATTACATATAGTAACTGGTTCACTGAGGCATATTACCAAACATAACTGAAAAACTGACAACCCCCCAGTCGTCAATGTAATTCACACCCTGATTTTACTCACCTAAAGGCCGAATGATGATGAAGATGAGCTTGTTTCTTCATGTGAAACACATTTCAAAAACATTTAGTGTCACGCAGTACATAATAAAGAACTGCTGGAGAATTCTAGCACGCCTGCCAGACTTTATTTGTACAATAATACAATATTTTAGTAATCTCAAGTGTCTTAAAAGTGCTCATAACAAATTCTTGGTGTATGTGTGTGCCATACTAAACTCTCATTAAAAGTCAGGAATATCTGTATGAAGCAAATAAAAGCATGATATAAGAATATGCTTAACTATCTGCTGTTTATATTCATATTTTCATATCATCTCATCTCTCTTTTTTTTCCTCACAGGATTTCTTGGGAGAAAAATCAACGTAGAGTTTCCTCTTCATCTATCTATATTTATTCTGGGCTCAAATGTGAAAGGTTTTTATGAAGGCATATGCTGATTATTGGTTATGGTTGAGTTCTTTAGTCTGTCCTACAGTACTAATACTGATGTTATTGCTGTTTTGCTCATTTTATTTCCCCTTCAAAAGCTAAATGTGAAGTTTAAGCTTGCAAAAAATACGTATACATTATAAAAAATATTATAATTGAGTCAATAAAAATATAAAAAATATTTTAATTGAGTCAATAAAATTATAAAAAATATTATAATTGAGTCAATAAAAATATAAGAATGTTATAATTGAGTCAATAAAAATATAAAAAATATTATAATTGAGTCAATAAAAATATAAAAATATTATAATTGAGTCAATAAAAATATAAAAATATTATAATTGAGTCAATAAAAATATAAAAAATATTATAATTGAGTCAATAAAAATATAAAATGTTATAATTGAGTCAATAAAAATATAAAATGTTATAATTGAGTCAATAAAAATATAAAATGTTAAAATTGAGTCAATAAAAATATAAAATATTATAATTGAGTCAATAAAAATATAAAATGTTATAATTGAGTCAATAAAAATATAAAATGTTATAATTGTGTCAATAAAAATATAAAATGTTATAATTGAGTCAATAAAAATATAAAATGTTATAATTGAGTCAATAAAAATATAAAATGTTAAAATTGAGTCAATAAAAATATAAAATGTTATAATTGAGTCGTATTTTGAGTTATTTAAATAGCAGCTCATTACCGCAGAGGTCTGCAGAAGAGTAGATTGGATTACTGCTTCTATATGTACTGCTAATGTCAGTTTCATTAATAGTTTTATGCCAGAATACATTTGCAGCCATAGAAATTATAATTGGAAACACTCAGATCAGTTTCATTCAGCATTCAAATGAAGGCGTTTGCACTGAAACTGTGTCTGAGCTCATTGTTGTCCATTTTTATTGTTGCCATGAAGTCAAACGTAGAGTTTAAAGCTTAGAGGTGAAATTAAAATGCTATTGCAAAGCATAAAAACGAATGCATAATATCATCTTTTCGACTTTGTTGAGTGTGTAGTACTATACTACTATATCTTCTAGTGCATATGAGGTGTGTACACTTTATTTCTATTGGGTAAAATTTGGGGGCCAACTTTATATGAAGTGTCCTTAGCTACTATGTACTTCAAAATGTGAATACAGTGTACTTAATGTGTTCAGAACACTTTAGCTGGGATACAGGTAGGGGGCAGGTTTGGTGGTATGGGTAGGTTTAAGGGTGAGTTAAAGTGTAAGGGATGGTCAAGAGTGTAATAGTAAGTAAATACAGAAATTATTATGTATTTACATGCAAGTATTAAATCAAGCATAAGTACAATGTAAAAGCATGTATTTACACAATAAGTACATTGTAATGAATTATTTATTCCAATGCAAGTACGTGTTTGTTAGGGACACTTAATTAAAGTGGGACCAAATATGGATAAGCCTAAATATTGGGTAAAATGTGGTCCAATAAATGTAATATGTTCATATCTTACCCAAAACTGGGCTCAAACAACTTTTTTGTGTGTGTGTGTGTGTGTGTGTGTGTGTCAAACAACAGCGTTTTAAGTGTATTAAACGCTAACCTTTTGTAACATTTTAAATCTGATCAAATGAATGTATGGTTGCTTAATAAAGGCGTTCACGTGTTTCATGCTTTCCTTTTTGTCTTATAGTCGAATCTTTCAAATGGTAGTTTTATCATGATTTGATTGACCAACAAATATCGATTTAACATTGATAAGAAGTAATTCTGGTGCTATTATAATGGTTTCTGAATGGCTGTGATGCATCACAGGGATACATTTACAGGAAGAAATGTAATAGTCACAAAGAAGAAAGCAGTTATTTTAAATAATAATAGTTATATTAAATGATTATATTGGTATAAATCTTTTTTTTTTTTTTTTGTCTAATATATTTATTAACATCTTGTGCAGAAACACAATCTTATACTTTACATCCAAAAATAAGTAATATACTGTTCGGCTTTTTCACTACTAAGAACCAATGACCATAAAAACAATATAGTTATTAAATAACACAGTATATGTAAAAGAAAATAAATAATAAAAGAAATATATAAATAACAAAAAACTAACAATACAAGTAATAAATAAATAATAATAACAAAGCTTTACTCATCTTCTGCTTCAAGATCAATAGTGTCAATATAGTTCAACAAAGGTGTTCATGTTTTGTAAAAAGATTTTAAAGACCCTCTTAATGAAAACCTGATTTTTTCGCAACTTTAAACACAAAAACAATATTTTATCCATCTGTCATTTAAAGGTGGAGATGTTTGTTTCCACTAAAGGAGAATAAGCCTCCTGGCCAAGAATGTGGTGAAAGCCACGTTTGTTGAAGCCAAACAGAATTCCGAATAGTCCTGTTAGTGGGTTTGGAGTAGCTGATGTGTTTACATTTTTTCAAAAATATTGAATAATTTAGACCAAAACTTGGTCAAGACTAAAACATGTGTGTGCGATTTGCTGAAGATTGTTGACACCTATTACAAGTATTACTTCTACGTGGAAATATTTAGGCTAATCTGGCATTAGTGTAGTGTGCTCTGTGGAAAATCTTGCATTGCATTAAACTGTGTCAGGCACATATAGAAGAACTGTGTACAAAATTGAGTATATAATCCCATTCTTTTTCACTGATCCCCAGCTCTTGTTCTTGGGTATGCTTAGGTAAATCAGAGGAGTCAGAATTCAAAGAATTTATTGACAGATATGATAGAGACTTTCCCTTTTCTGTCTTGGTTAAAAGAATGAATGGTGTCCAATTTTAAATCAGGAGGATTTAAAAATGATTTCGTATAAAATGTCTCATCTGAAAGAAGCGAAAAGGAGGAGTTTTAGGAAGATTAAACTTTTCAGACAAATCTGAAAATGAGACAAATATCATACAAGTGCTTAGTGGTATTAGGGCCCTTAGAAGACCAGTCATGAAAACAGAATCAGAACACGATGATAAAATAAGATACATCTTAAATCACATGCCTCATTCATCACAACGAGTCACAAAATGGGAAATGTCTATAAGAAGAGAACAACAAAATAAGAACATTTTCACCATCAGGACAACAATTAAGAAGTGTAGCCAACAGGAATGAGCCTGCAAGAGGATGTGTGTCTGTTTAGTCCAAACACACTGTTAGGAGGATGGTTTGAGAAACACAGATGGAGAAATGCAGAAGTTGGTATTCTCCTGGGGTCAGAAATTGTCCAAAACTACAATCATTTAACAGCTACATATAGACAGACAGACAGACAGACAGGTAGGAATATGGTAGGTAGGTAGGTGGTAGGGTGGGTGGGTGATTGGGTAGGTAGGTAGGTACAGCAGGTAGGTAGGTTGTTGGGTGGGTGGTTGTGTGGTTGGGTAGGTAGGTAAGTAGATGATAGATAGATAGACAGACAGACAGACATAGATAGATAGATAGATAGATAGATAGATAGATAGATAGATAGATAGATAGATAGATAGATAGATAGATAGATAGATAGATAGATAGATAGATAGATAGATAGATAGATAGACAGATAGACAGATAGATAGTTGGACAGACATATAGACAGATACATAACTCATTACCGTTTAAATAAATTCAGCATCAAAAAAGCATTTTGATATTGGTGAAGGTGTCTGAAATTTTGTTAAAGCATCAAATCACTGTCATATTATCTGTAAACATGTGAAATCATTATTCCTTTAACAAACAAACAAAACACTGTTGATTATTGTGCACATTGTCTGTCATTATTGACAATTTATACTACTAAAGCTGGATTGGTACCTTAAAAAAGTATGCGTTTGTATCTAAAAAGTTCATATGGATGTTCTCTTTGAACCTCTTAGGGAGAGAACATCTAATTTCAGTGGAGACTGCATACGATTTATTTACATATTTTTTTTTAATTTCTTTTAAACTTATATTTATATGAAGACAGAGTTATTAGCACAGTGCACCCCTTTGGATTTTTAAAAAATATTTCTCAAATGTTTAACAGAGCAAGGAAATTTTCACAGCATAATATTTTTTTCATCTGGAGAAAGTCTTATTTGTTTCATTTTGGCTCGAAGAAAAGCAGTTTTAAATTTTTTAAAATCCATTTTAAGGTTAAAATTATTATCCCCTTTAAGCTATATATTTTTGATAGTCTACAGAACAAACCATCATTATATAAAAACTTGCCTAATTCCCCTAACCTGCCTAGTTAACCTAATTAACCTATTCAAGCCTTTAAATGTCACTTTAAGCTGTATAGAAGTGTCTTGAAACATATCCAGTCAAATATTATTTACTGTCATCATGGCAAAGATTAAATAAATCAGTTATTAGAAATCAGTTATTAAAACTATTTAGAAATGTGTTAAAAAAACTGCTTTCCGTTAAACAGAAATAGGGGAAAAAACAAACAGGGGGGCTAATAATTCAGGGGGGGGGGGGGGGGGGGTTGTACAAAGAATGGACCCCAGATACTTGCACCAACATAATTCCTTCATGTTGTCTCAACACAAAATGCTCAAGTTAACTTAATGGTTTACAAATTTAAGTGGACTGAACATAAAACAAATAAACTGGCCAAAGAAATGACAAGAATTGCTGTTTCAGCTCATTTTAAACGGGCAGTTTAAACAAGCAGCAGTAATCATTGTTTTACAGATGTTTTTCTACAGTGTTAGCTCAAATAGTTTCACTTTCAAAGAAATGACCTCATTGTCAACAAACCCATCCAGTTCCAGAATATTCAAATGAAGCGTGCTGCGCTTTGATTGGCCATATCAGAGGAAGCGCACGCAAGCTGGCGTTGACAAATGTGAAATCGCTCACGTTTGCGTTATTGTGTGCGTGTACGTGCTGAGCAGTGTATGTGAAGCCGGTTAAAGCGTACGTCTCTCTCCTCTGAGGGCATTTCACCCCAGGGCCCGGGCCGTACGTGACCGCCACCGCCTCCCTCTTTACCGATAACGCTAATGAACTTCCTGTGATTTCCTGTAATTGGGGCAGTTTGGGCGGGACACACGTGTGAGTGCGGGCATGTTAATGGCATCTGGCAGGCATATAGACGTGTATTGTGGGGTTCCTGATTGGCCAGAGGAACCATATATCTTCACATATTGTCTAAGCTAATCAGCTAGCATTTGTTTAATGCAAGAATGAATACTGTTACAAAGAAGATAGCCTACATTATGAACAAAGAGACAAGGAGGGTTACATACCTTAAATCACACTGCAAATTCAACAAGGTTATAAGGCTTACAGATTATTATACACTAAAAACAAATGATTTTGAATCTTGTTTAAAGTGCTTATTTAAAATGAGCTGAAACAACACATTTCTTCAAATATTTAGGGGAACAACTTAATAGTTTTATGTTTAATCCACTTACATTTGTTACGTTAACTTAATTGATTTGTTTTAGGGCAACATGAATGAATTGTGTGGAACTCTGAATTTGTTTAAATAAAAATGCAATAGAATTATTAGTCAGAAATATCAAAATAAATATAAAAATGTATACAATTTAGCAGGAAAAAGCTAGGATTTAATAATACACTTACTGTGAGAAGGGTCTAGGTTAAAAGAATAACCAAAAAATGACAATTTAGGGCATATACAAAAGTTTGGATATAAGATTTAATAAAATTTGGAAAAGTCAACCCGAAATACTTCACAATAAATAGGCTACACTCCAAAATAAATCATGTTTCTTCAGTCTGAATACAAAATTTGAAATAGAGAAACATTTGGGGGTAAAAACTATTATTAAATTCAGCAAGTTTGTAATTTAATGGGTAGCAATTATGAACAATTTTTAGAGTCTTCGCCAACTTTATTGTTTGTTTTGTTTGTTTGTTTAAACTTTAAAGTCCATTCAGCATGACAGAAAGGAATTTTGTCTTTAACACTGGTAGCATACATACATCCATTCAACAATCACATAATAGCAACACTCAGCAAAACAACCACATGAATTATTTATTCATTCATTTTTCTTCAGCTTAGTACCTTTATTTATCAGGGGCCGCCACAGCGGAATGAACCGCCAACTTATCCACCATATGTTTTATGCAGCAGATGCCCCTCCAGCTGCAACCCAACACTGGGAAACATCTATACACTCTTGCATTCGCACACATACACTACAGCCAGTTTAGCCCATTCAGTTCACCTGTAGCAGATGTCTTTAGACTGTGGGGGAAACCGGAGCACCCAAAGGAAACCCACGTCAACATGAGTAGAACATGCAAGCTCCACACAGAAATGCCAACTGGCTCAGCCAGGGGCCTTCTTGCTGTGAGGTGATCATGCTACCCAAGAGGTATTTATACCTAAGGTATAACAAAAATACATTTCAAGTTTACATTTCAGATATATTATACACATACATATAACAGTTTAGCAACAAAATCGACATCTTCGACTTCAGTTGTATCTTGACATTTCTTACACTAAAATAAGTCCATACTATATATAAATGAAAATCAAGAAAAATATTTAAACAAGGTTTAGAATTATTCCTTCTACATGAATATGAAATGTACCAAATATCAGTATAAATGGGGTATATGCACAGCTAGTGTTTTTCAGCCAAGGATTTGAATGAAACTTTTAGTGAAAGCTTAATGTGACTGTTTTCAATTTTA